GGGGGGGGGAGGGAAGGGGCAGAAGCAAAAGGAGCAGGAGAGGGTGGGCGGCAGTGACACGGGCACATGACGATGGGTCAGGACAATGTGAAGGGAAGAACCCAGGCGGAGGAAGAGATTGCGACAGGGGATGCAGGGGATGCAGGGGGAGGGGGGGGGGGGCACACGCACGTCACCTGGCGCACATGGCCGACCAGCGAGTGCTCGGTGTTGGGCAGGTAAGCCAGGTACTTCTCGCCGTCATAGAAGGGGTACCAGAACTTCCAGCCATCCGGCACGAAGAACTCGTCACTCACGGCGTTGATGGCGAAGACCGGCACGCCACGCTCCTTGTACCGCTCGATGTACACCAGGGGATCCTCGACGTCGGCCAGGCGCTCGAAGGCCGGGCAGTTGAGGCACTGAGTGATGTTGGCCTCAGTGTAATCATTCAGGGCCAGTGGCCAGCGGCCGTAGGTCTGATAAATGTTGTTGAAGTTGTTGAACATGTCCAGGACGTCGATGACGATCGGGGCCGAGGCCACAACACGCGAGTCCACCGCGCCGGTCAGCCAGCTCACCCACCCGCGCTTGGAGGCGCCGACCACGGCAAAGCGCTCGACGCTCGGGGCGGTCGGCACGCGCTGCGCCGCGAACTCCTGGATGGCGTCCATGGCCCGGACAGCCGCCTTGACCATGGGGAAGCGCCCGACAATGTAGGGCTCGTTGGTGCGCATGAAGATCTTCCAGGTCTTGGCCAGGAAGGAGTCTGCAAGGAAGTCGCGGCCGGGGGAGGGGGGGGGGAGGGGAGGAAGGAGAGGGCGATCAGTGGAAAGGGAGCGACGACAGACGAAGGTGAGGGGCCCGGCAAACGGCACAAACTGGGGAGCAAGATGAAAACATACCCTCCGAGCGGCCGAAGTCCTCATCGGCAAAGATAATCGGCTGGTTGGGAACCTGGCTAAGCTCGGCAACAATCATGCCGTTCTCCACGGCGATCGGGGGGACTGATCAGGAGGACACAAGGGGGACATTGCGACCAGGAGGGAGAGGAGGAAGGAGGTACATGTCAATGAACTGCCACCATGTGTATATGTAGCGGAGGGGGGGGGGAAGCAGGGGAGGAGGAAGAGGAGGAGGAGGAGGAGGAACTGCGCAGGACACGTACGGAAGGCCTCCATATCCTCGGGGGGGTTGCCCAGGGGGTTGCGCCCGCCGCCAATGTACAGGGCAGCCAGGTCGGTCTTGATGTTCTTGGGGACGGCACTTAAGAGCGGGGGAAGGGTGGACTTCATGTCAGACAGGCAAAAGGAGGGGGGGGGGAGGTGCCTTCCCTCAGCGAGTGAGGAAGGAAGCACGGGAGGGACCAAGGGCAGTCGCGGGGCGCGCGGGGGGGGGCGGACAGGACACGTACACACGCAGCCAGTGCTCCCAGACCGGGGTGTCAGTGATGTTGGAGTTGAGCCAGGTCTGAGAGGTGAGCTTCAACATGTAGAGGCTGTAGCCAAGTGAAGCGTGGGGAATGACGCTGGCCACTTCCCAATTGTAGGTGGTATCCCCATTGTTGAGCTGGAAAAGAGGGGGGCGGGGGACGGGGGAGGAAGCGGGGCCGGTTGATGGGTCATGTGTGAGCAGCAAGGAGGGCGCGCATGCGTCCATGTACGGGCAGGGGGGGGGGGCGATTGTCGATCGGTCGAGAAAAGAGCACGAGACAGTGCCAGCAGACGGGGAGAAGGGCGGCAGCTGATCCGACACACGTACATAGTCATCCAGGGGAAGGGCAGTGCCCGGACGCGGGGCGGCCCAGAAGAGACAGCCCAGCAGAGCGGCCAGGGTGATCACAAGCCGTGACCAGTTTGTGCGGCCGGACATGATGGCAAGATGGGGAGGAGGGGAGTTGCACAAGACGAGGGCTGGACGGGGCGACCGAGGGGGAGGGGAGGATCTCTTCGATGGGAGGGGTGAGGGAGGAGGGGAAGGAGCAGCAGCAAGGCTCGATCGGGGGGCTGGCAGACACCTGGCCGGGAGGCTGGACAAGGGCCAGCCTTAAGACGTTTCTTCGCGCGTCTGGGTGGGTGGAGGGGTGGGGGCAACCGAGCATGGAGCGCCGTCGGCGTGGTGCCCGGGCGATCTAAAGTCCCCGGCATGTGGAGCAACGCGAGGAGCGCAAGCCAGTGCTACCGGACCTGGACGAACACCCGGACCGGAAACCGGGCCCGAGAGACCAAGGACGCGCCGGCTGGAGGGACAGCACACCGGGCCGGGCGAAATACACCGCCAGCCGGAAGACACACGGTCGCCTGACTCTCCGCCCAGAACCCGACGCGGTCCCTCGCCCCTGGCGCGAGCCATCCTCGTAGCCCCCTCTCAAAGGGCAAATTCACCTGAGCGGGAGCGGCCCGGGGGGGGGGGGGGGGGCGAAAGACGTGCTTTGGACACCGGCGCCCCAAACACCGCCCCACTCCGGTGGCGGGGGGCGCCCCGGAGCGGATGGGCGATCGGGAACACCCTGCACAAGTGTGGGCAGGGAGGGGGAGAGGCCCGATGGAAGGGGGTTGTGTGCAAGGCAGTAGAAGGCAACCACCGGCACCGGTGGGTTCGATGCACGGCGGGCAGGCGCGGGTTCCCTCGACCAAGGGAAATTAGGCGCCAGAGCAAAGCAACCCGTGGCCAACCTCCTTGACTGGCCCCGCGAGGAGACGGACAATGGTGCGCACACGCGGAGAGATCTGCGCCCCCCCTCCACGCGCCCCCCCCCCCCCCCCTGTGTCAAAATAAAGGGCCAATAATAACTCCGGTGTATATTACATTGATGGGCGTAGCCCAAGAAGGGGGCGGGGCCGGGGGGGGGGGGGGGGGGCGAGGGGAGATGCTGGACACGGCCGCGGAGCCCATAATAACAACAACAACAACGAGGGCCCCTCTGCCCACTCTCGTGACACGAGGGCGGCGGCGACAAGGGGCCGCGCCGATGTTGTCCCTGCGAAGGCTGGGCGTCTTCGCGGCTCCGCTTACGCGAGTCTCTCTCCCTCCTCTCTCTCTCTCTCTCGCTCTCTCGCGGGTTCTTTCTCTGCCCCCCTGCCCCTCCCATGTTCTCGCCGTGACCCCCTCGGCCCCCTTGGCCACCCCATTCTCGTCCCGGCCCGAGTACCGTTGGAGCTCCTTCGGGGCCAGGCAACGGGGGGGAGGGGGCCCTCTAAGGCGGCCGGCCATATGACCGTGGAGCGAATGGCGGTGGCCACCGGGCAGCAACTGGCCGGCGAGGCACGGTCTGGCCCCGGGCCCAGTTCGCAGCCATGTGCGCATGTCACACCGAGGGATCACGTCCTTTTTGCTGGAATGGCACCACTTCGAGGATCACACCCCGGCACTACCCACGCTCGCCGCGCTCCCGAAGATGATTGCAATCTCGGCATGCTGGTGGCGAACCCCGGGACCGTCGTCGTTCGGGGTTCGGTCCCGCGCCCCCCCCCCCGGGCGCCCGAAGCCCTGCGCACCGTTGTGACGACTGAGACTGACGAGCCTTCCTGCTGGGTCTCGTCTGGGGGCTCGGGCCGCAGGGGGGGGGGGGGGGGGGGGCCGAGGCCAGATACTCCATCGCAAGGACGTCCACGCATCCCCGAAGACCGCGCTCACTTGGGCTGACTCGGGGGGCTGATCCATTGGCATCCGGCTGGCGGTCGGCCGGTCCAGACGCCTCCCCCCCCCCCCCCATCCGGGTGGGCTGCCGGCTGGGCGGGGACATAGATTTCCCCGAGCCCGACCGGGAGGCCCCTTGGCGTGAGCCCCTTCTTGTCCGGTTCGCAGTGCGGAGCATCCCCCGGACGGGCGGTGCCCCCCTGCCGGGTGTCCGGGCTCGGCTCTGCCGGCGCGCCCCCGGGGCCAGCGGGGGGGAGGGGGGGGGGCCAGCCCGGAAACGCAGTCCTGTCAGAGAAAACAATCAACCTGCGGCCCCTCCAATCTAACAATATGCCCGCCGAGGCTCCTTCCTCCCTCCTGCCGAGGGAGGGCGACACAGGCGCGCCCAGGCCGAACAGGCGGGGCCTGCCTGGGAGGGGACTTCCCCCTCGGGCTTCGTCCGAGGCGGCAGCGCTTAACCCCTGCTCGGAGCGAGCGGGTTGGGGCCCGCTGGCCCCTCGACTTGCCGGGGTGCGACCGACGAGTCTTGCACTGCTGCCCCCAGTGCCGGCGTTCCCGCCTGGGGGGTGAAGGGCGGGGGGGGGGGCGGGGGGAAGATAGGTGTCACCGCCCGTGTGGGTGGGCGGAGGATGGCCCCGGCACCGACCCGGGGGAAGGCGCATGAAAGTCCTTCGGGCACACAGCCGCATGGCCGGCTTCGCCCGCCCCCCTGGACTGTGCATCATTCCGCCCTCATTCCGCCCATTCCTTTTCCTTGTTCTTTGGCTTCGGCCCAGATCCGATGCATATGATTCATGGTGCGTAGTGCCCTCCGCCCCTTCCCCCTGGCCTTCGCCCTTCGCCCGGCCTCACGACGCTTGCCCCTGCTGGGCAAATGTAATTTGCGCATGGACGCCGTCCTGCGGCGCGTTGCCGGGGCGGGCCCGGCTCCCGGACGCCCCCCGCACCGTGATGATCGCCGTGCCCATGCGCGGGTGAAAACAAACACCTTCTTGCCCGCCTGCCCCAGGAGGCAGTTGGCCGGCGACGATTTCCAGCGCCCACAGACAAGCCCCCGCGTCGAGGTGCTTGTGCTGGCGCTTTTGCTCGGCCGACTCCGTCCAGCCCCTCCCCCCGTCGTCCCCCTTGGCACGACCCTGGACCATCCGCCAGGAGGGGGAGGAGGACCGCGAGGGTCGAGCTTTTCGATGCAAGCTGCTCTCGGCCCCCTGCCGTCTGTGCGAGCAGCTCCCTTCGCCCCCCCCCCCCCCCCTCCCCCGTGGGCGCCCCCCGCCCCCCCCCCCCCCCCCCCCCCCCCCGCCCCCGGCCCCCTCTCCTCCCCGGCGGTTTGCGGGTACGATCTGCACTGCAGACATTCATGTCGCAAGGATCGGCCTCCCCCCCCTCCCAGATGATGGGGGGAGCAGCCTCCGTTCAGCCGGAGGAGCCAGGCAGCATCCAGTTGAAATGCTCCCTGCAGGGTCTTCGAGTGACCATCAGCGGCGGCAGCCTTCTCCCTCTACTTCCCCTTTCCCCCCCTCCTCTTCTCCCCCCCCTCCTCTTCTCCCCCCCCTCCTCTTCTCTCTGCCCCCCCCTCCCGGCCGTTGGCACGCTTGACACCCTCGCGAAGAGACCCCCGGGGTCCTTGAACGCCGACGCGCGCCGGCCTCCTCCTCCTTACCTCTTCTTTTCCTGCCCCTTCACCTTCTCGCGCTTGGGCCACTTCATCTGGCACCCGCGTGCGTCGCCTCAACCATGTCGCTCGTCGTCCTGCCTCGCAGCGCTAGCCGCGAGGGCGGCTACCAGGTCAACGACATGGTCTCTGGCTCCTCCGATGATGACGCGTCATCCACTGCCTCGGAGGGCTTTATCGGTATGTGCTCCTTGCTCGGCCACCCCCTCTGCCCTGGCCACACTGTCTGACTGCTGGGCCTTGTTCGCGCTGGTGCTTCGCCTCTCCGTCCATGTGAAGACCGGCGA